TTATCATAAAATTAAGCACACGTATCAGGAGTCAGTTGAGTGTAAAATGTTACCCTGAGGGCATAGCCAGGCATTTCAATCAGTGCATGTTTACATCTGCTTGTGCAGATGTATTTCTAGTATAGAATGTGCCAACCTGCAGCTCTCAAAGAAACTGGTTTGGTAGGAGTTGAATCAGACCCATGGTATCCCAAGTGACGTTTATGAAGAAAATCTTTTGAAGTTGATTTGTCAAATATGAAATAAATAAAGAAAAAAGCCTGTGGTTGCCTTTCATTGTTTCAAGAAGATTGAGAAATGGATGCTCAAAAAGAACCACTGTGCTCTCCCTTTTATATTATTTTATTTCCAGGGTAGCTTTGCTACTTTCACTGTCTTAAAAGTAAACATTCAGCTTAGATAGGATAATTCATATCCTGCGGTTTATAATCTCTGTTTGGTTGGTGCTCTGAGGGATAAACCTAATAATTTTTGGGTTGACCCAGAGACTCAATAAAAAAAAAATTCTTGTCACTTTTATCACTGTTATTTTGCCCTGCAGTCTAGCCTGGAGTTTCACTGCAGTAAGTAAAGCTTCCAGCATGCCTTTTCCCTGCCGTGGCTGTTTAATTAAGTTCCAGACTCCACACAGCTCACTTGGTGCAGGTGCCATTTCATGTTGTCCAAGGCATGTTGCAGATCTCCACTTGAAGACTAAAGCCAAGATAGCTTTGTGATGCTGAGAACCTTCAGTTCTTCTGAGAAGTGGAAGGGGTGTCTGCATGAACTCAATGGTGTGAGATTTGGATAAATTTTTCTAGGAGTCATTTAATCAGAATTAAATTCTGATGATTTATAAAAATTATTTTTTATCTAAACTGAACCTAAATATCAAAGGCAGTGGAATAGCCGTCCCTGGAAGTGTTCAAGAAGCAACAGATGTGGCACTTACTGCCATGGACAAGGTAGCATTCAGTGGAAAGGTAGACTTGCTGGTCTTGGAGGTCTTTTCCGACCTTTTCATGGTTCTATGATCATATGATTCTGAAGTAAATTAAAAATCACAGCTGAACAAATATTACATACCAATTATCAGAAGGCAGAAGAGGTAACCTGTGCATTCCACGACAGCAGTTCAACAGCTTTTGTGTTCACTTGGTTAAACTATGTGTGTGCTATTAACTTAATATGACAGCCCTCGAATGCAATTGAAGCACGTGGGCTGGTAAGACTGGACAGTTTTGCCATCTCAGACTCAGAAACCAAAGTTAGCAGGACCAATTTGATGTATATACTCCGTTATAAATGTGAGCAGGGAATAGTCTGCTTTCTGCTTTTTATTTGGGAATAAAGAGTCATTAATAAAGTGTGAGTGAAAACTGAGATAAAACATGTGAAGTCTGACTTCTTCTGCAATTTCTTGTTCTCTGTGAGCAATGTGCCAAAATACTGGAAGCTGTTAATCTATGGTTCCATTTCAGCCATTGTCAGATGCATTGTCAGTTATTCTGGAAAAAAATCAAGGTTTCCAGGCTATTAATAAAAGCTTGTAAAATTAATAAAGGAAGAAATTATTAATTCTTAAAAGTGGGTTCACAGGCTAAATTTTTTTAAACATTTTTCAAGTATATGGAAGCCGTGAAAATTGGCAGTACTATAGCCAAACACAGACAAACATAACAAAAACTATGATGTGTAATTGAAATGAAGCTGAGTAGTAATGAAAAAGGAGAAATAGTTATGAAATCTTTCCTATGACATGAAACAAAACTCTGGGAAGAGTTAGTTCTCAGGAAAATTTTTAATTTTCTTTCTCATGCATAGTAATCTTTAGTAATTCTAGTAATTTTTTTAGACATGTGTTGTCCAAAATTTACACTCTTTCTGGTTAAACTGAATATTTAGGTATGAAATCAGGAATCTAAATAAAGGAGCCAGACATGTATTTTACAGTTGTAATTTCCTCTTATTTGCATGGCATTTTTGCATGGTAAATTTTTAATGATAATCAAGCATTTATATTTAAGTACATGAGTGATGGGCTTAGGAGCTTAACTGTAGTTGTGTATGAATGTTTGAATGATTTTTGTTATGAATAGTATCTTGTTTAAAAACTTGTTGAAACAGAGAGATTTGAGCACACATTGTTTCTGCAAAATCAAGGTAAACTGATTTGTGGTCTTACATTTCTTTCTCTCCCACTGGAGGACCAGTGGATGGGCAAGCCACCATTTCCCCAAATGAATGGCATTAGTTTCCTGTCCTCCAGTTTATCTCTGTGAAAACTACACTTCCATATCTCCTAGGAGTTTTAATGAGGTTTAGCTCATTAATACAGGAATTGTAATTTGTGATTACCAAAAAAACCCTGTAAAGACATGGCTTCTTTTACTACTTTTGTTTCATTGTATCACAATCAATTCCTGAATGGAAGAACATTAAACATGCAATATATAACTCCAGTCCACAGGGAATTTTGGCTATCAGTTAAAAAAAATCAACACATACCACCCCTCCCACCTCCCAAGTGTAAATATGTCAGTAAAATACTATGGGAAAATATTGTTGACATTGTTCAATGCTTCCTTGCAGTATGTTTTTTTTTCCCCAACCAAACCCCAATATCCATAAGTTTCTTTACAAAGAAAAAATGTCAGATATTACTTGCTGGAGAGTGGATATGCAAAGATTTTTTAAAATGTTTTTCCAACACTTGCTTAAGATGTTTCTGTTGAAGTTATCTTCTTTAACACAGAGGCATCACAGTTATTAGGATAGACTACAGAAATATTAGACTATATAGGCAAAAGGTAAGTGATTAAAGAATAGTATGCTTAAATGCTGCTGAAATGTTACCAGGTTAACAAATGATGGAAGTTAAATGATGGAAGTTTGCAGTGGTGTACACAGAATGCTGGCAGTCATTTCCTTTGATGGATTTGGTTTCATGCAAAATTTCCAAACTTTTAGCATTACAGTATGTGACCGTTTTGGCAAAGGCACGCTAATAATGCAAAGGCTTTGAAGAAGACAGTGATAAGATAAATAGTCCTCAAAAAGCCTAAACCCAACAGCACAGTGCCATAGTTGCAGAGACAGGATGAAGATTCAGGAGCCTTGGGTAGATGAGACTGCTGGGCTTTGGACTCTGGAGAGTTTTGACATTCTTCCCTGGGTCTCTTACACTAAAGCCTAATGGGAAACTTGAGGGAAAGCTTCTGACACTTTTCATGTGATCAGAAATTATCTGCTCTTTGCAGTTGCAGTATAGGAACCATGTTGAGAAAGTACGACCTAAATGAGAGCTAGTGTTCCAAACCAGTAGTAATCCTTGCTGTTTTTTCCAGTTCTTCAAAATAAAATAATTCCAGTGCACACATCTACTATTTTGGTTCATAACAGCTACTGCAACTGAAGCTATTGAAATAGCTATAACATAAATACATTGCTTAGGAAGAAAAATGTGTAATAATGACACTTTATTTCCATTTACAGTATCTCCTAAATATCAGTGTTATCTTCTCAATTTTGACAGCACCTAGGTGGTATTTGGATAGGATTTATGTTATCACTCTTTATTTCAAATGAGTGCTGAACTGGAATTTGGAATACATTATCTTTTAATCCCCTAGACTGAAAAACATGTTTTGCACATAGTGTTAGTGTCTGAGGTATATTTCTAATATGCAGGTTTTGAGTTTTGGGATTCAGAATATAGACTGCCATTTTCAAATAACAACCAACTCCCATGAACAGAAAGTTAAAGACACCATAATGTGCTCTCCATATTTGTACTTGCTCATTTGCAATGTGGGTACTTCATCTCTGCTTTAGGTTTAGATATGTAAAAATTAGGACACAAACTTTTCATCTTTTTTGTGTGAATTTATTTATTAAAAAATGCAAAATGTCATGTACCTATATGCCCATATATCTCTAGCAATCTGATGTTTTCAGTCCTAAATCCTCTAATTTCTAAGTCTAGCCACACTATTAAATAGTATTTTATACTTAAAATTCCTTGAAACACCAACTGGAAATTCTTCAGCTTCTAAATATAACTCCTGCATAGTGATAATTGTACATATTACAATGTTATATATTTATATTTATTTGATTGAAGTATGGAGTATATCTGTATTTATGGATTGGAAGTGCATTAAAACCAGTATACCAGAGAAGTGCTGAATGCGTTTTTTTTCACTGCTGCTCCTCATGCAAATTCTGTCCAGCAAATTTGCCCATGACAAACCTGAAGATGTCTCTGTTGTTTCTGAGAATTTTATGTGTGATTTACTGTAAGACAGTTTTCAGATGCAAATGGTTTGTGTCATAAGAATGGAGGAATACATTGAATTCCAACTTACTGTATTAGTTTGATTGAATTTAGCTACTACAGTAGCCATGTAGTAGCCATGGAATTATCAGTGTTTCAGGAAAATGCTAAAGATTAAGGGCTATAAACTACCTTTTTGTCATTTTTGATTGGTGAACTGGTATATGCAAATTGGATTAAAAGTATAGAAGTAGAAACCAAGAAATGTAACACTTACTTGTACTGTTTCTTCACTCAGATTTTTGTGCTCTTGAGAAGGTAATAAATGCAAAGTGAATCTTCTGAAGTGGTCATTAAATCTCCCACAACTTTTGAGTATTTAAATACCAAACTCACAGACAAGTAATGGTATCACTTGCTTTACCAGGTATTTTTAAAATTTGTGAGTCTTGTTTCAATTGAAAGGAGTTGGAGGCTTTAAGAAAACATTTTAGTGGGTGACTTCTGTCCAATATATGCCTTTTTCAGCAGCTTACATAACACTGGCATGCATCCAAGAGTCAGGTGTGTCAGTATGGTTCTCTGCCGAAATTAATGTCCTCAAATTAATGATCCTGCCTTAGAAACCTCAGCTTTTTTAGAAGTTCAGGATGACCCTTCTTTTCCTTTAACCTGCCTGATGAGAATGAAATGAGTTTCATTTCTGATTTGCAACATGTACATCACCTGTAATTTTTGCCTGCAGATTTTCCACATGACGTATGATCTGGCCAGTGCAGTGGTGAGAATCTTTAATCTGATTGGAATGATGCTCCTGCTGTGCCACTGGGATGGTTGTCTACAGTTTTTAGTACCATTACTCCAGGATTTCCCACCAGATTGCTGGGTGTCCCTAAACGGTATGGTTGTAAGTATTGTTCATTTTTCATTGTGCTTTCTAAACATTACTTTCCTAAACAGTTAGCTTCAGAAGTTAGTGTAGAAACATATGCCTAGCAATATACTGCCCTGCAATTTATTCAAGGTTACTTTCATATTCTGTTGGCACACTTGCTTATGAACTAGTTTGTTTTGTCGTCCTCATAGTCAATAAAATAATATTGACTCTTTGTCAGTAAATGAGCCAGAAAATACTTTAGATTTAAAGTCATTCTAGTTTATTAACTCCTATTCCCTAAAAAAAGCCACCAAAAGAAATATGGAAGCACTCAGTACACTACTGCTTTCAGTTTAGGCAGTAGTTTCAAAATACCACTGAAGGTACATTATTGGCATTAGTTTCATGCAATGTTATCCTCAGTTTGTAAACTTCTGAGTCATGTAATGATCCATTGTTCCCAACACACAGATCAAGATTTTTGTAAGTAAAATAAGATAAATAGACTCAGTTGTATGATAGTTTTCTGTGTGGGAACAGAATGTTCAAGGACAGAATGTGATTGTGTGTTATTTATAAAGACGGGTAATGATTTTCTATTTAAAGGACAATGGCCGTGAAAATAATTTTTTTTTTATCAAGTCAGATAATGTGGCAGTATATAGAACATTTTTATAGGAAATACAGTGAAATTGCTGGAATGGGCCTATAGCCAAAAGAAAAGGCCCCAAGGAGCTCTCATTGGTAATCTGAAAATATATGTCTCTCCAGTTTTTGTAATCTTAGGATCCATAAACCTTTACCTTTACTGTAGATGGGCATCTTGTTCAGGGTCACACATTCCTGCTATAGAAGCATAACAGTATTTGTTCCTTTAGGAACATGATACTGCACATAAATGTGGGAGCGCCTTGGCTAAGACTGTCAGTCATACAGACAAGTATTTGCAGTCATCAGACAACATCTTTAATGATAACCAGCATGTTTGCTGACACCTCACTGTGCCTACTTTTCTAAAAAAATACTGACATATCTTCAAAAATGGGATTGCTGTGATGAAAGTAGGTCACCGCAGTGCTGACTAGCACATCTTTCCATTCTCCTGTATTCTGTGTTCTGCTTTCTAACATCTTCCATTCACATTTACAAAGTGTAAATTTTCGACCAGCTTTTTAAAGATCTGGATGAAAATCATGCTAGTGAATGAAAGGAAGCCTTGGATTACACTTAATTGAAGTAGTCAACTTTTAGAAAACACTAAACTCTGAAATTCTCTCTGCTCCTTAAGAGCTACATTCGATCTTAAGAAGGCTGCACACACTATGAACATGCTCAGACCCTTCTTTCTACCTACCCACATTCAGGGTTGTTTTTTATGGAAACAATATTCTCTCTCTACTGTTCACATAATCATGGAAAGATCCTCTCTGAAAGTTGCAGCATTATTTTGTTTTTTACCAGCAACTGAATTGTTTATGTGGAATGAACACTGCGGAGAAATTTGAATATAAAGTTCACAGCCAGTGACAAGAGAAAGAATGGTGAGCTACCAGCCTGGAATCAGAAACATGTTTTAGGGAACATTGGGGAAAACTTCTAGACATGTCATGGTGTTAGAAGACATTTCCTAGTTGTTTTCCAGTCTCTGGGAATTAATTCTTTAACATTAAAAAAAGACAGTGAAGCTGTCATGGAATATCAGTCCTCTAAAATGATAGCAGAAACAGGAGGAGGTTGATAATTATGATCATGATGGTTATCTGCTCTTGTGGTGTATTGAGTGAGAGTCTAACTGACATTATTTTATTTTTAGAGTGACTTTGGAGTTTGAAAGGGTTTCATGTACCTGATACTGCTTTGGCAAGAGGGAAACCTTGCTCTTCTGTATACTGTAGCATATAGCAGTTCAATCTACTCTGAATTTTGGCTTTTGTTACTGAGATGATAGCACCTGGTACTGGGGTTTGGATGCAAAGTAAAATTTTAAACTTAATTGTGATCACTGGCTTGAAGACTTATTCAAACCAATGTGTGCTTATCGAGAAAAAGCCAGGTGAGTCAAAGCTTTTGCAGATAATGTGTTAATAAAGGAAGTCAGGAAGTCAGAGCGATGACATGGCATCTCCTCAACTCACACAGCCCAGCCTACTCCTCCAGTCCACAGTTCCATTCTGTCTTGCACATTAGTTGCTTCAGGCTGCAGAGTGCAAGAACTTTTTAAAACCTTGTCTTGAAAGCTGTTACTTCTGTCTGAACTGATACACGAAAGTATCCAAATGCCTCAGGCAAGCTCACGGTTTTAATTTATAAATACTGTAAAGGAAAATAACATCGATTAAATTTAATGTCACAGAGGAATAGGAAAATGAATCCAGGTTGCAAGTTGCTTACTACCTCTTTGAACAATGTGACTGAATGCAATTAAAACGAAATAAATCAGTTGGATTTTTGTCTTTGAAAGGATAATAGAAACCTCATAATGCAACATGAAGGAGACTATAAAGCGGAAAGCCCTCTCTGTAAAAAGGGGATAAGATCAACACTGGTGAAAACTCTGTACCAACGTATAGGCTAGGTAGTTCAACAAAATTGTTCAGATCCCGTTGATATACTCTTTGCCATGAAATTAATTGTGAGCCCATGTTGTATCTGTATTCTCAGCTTGAACCTCTTGGCAGTTCCTAACATAGGCCCTCATCTTGCAATGAAATGACTGCCAGAGCTGACGTCTTCAAGAATATTGGTGTACTGGTCATTAAAAATAAGAACATTGGTAAATGTAATATGAAAGTAAGTAGCAGCTATTTCCCTCCTTCCCCCCTTTTGTGTAACATTCCAGCCCATCCATTACAGACAAAATAACAGTACATTACTTATAGGAATGAATATAGCTATTTGATGCCATTTTAGTTTTTTCAACACTAGGATTTTTTAATTCCTAAAGAAGGTCTTTTCTGAAGAAGTTTCACAGACTTTCTTAATAATGCTGCCTAATTTCTCCTTGGCTCAGAAAGCCTATTATCTGCAGCTCCCTCTGTAATTTATCCTCAGCTTTCTGATCTTCATTGCTTTAGTCTAGTGTACTTCCATAAGGGCTGATAGACTAAACATTTTTGTCATACCTCAGAGTTTGAGCCAGTAGTTCCTTAGAAAATTAAGAGTAAAACTTGCAGATAAAAATAGGTGTGCACAAAAGCAGAAAAGCCCAGGGGTCCTCTTCCTCTGCCACAGTCAGTCTATGGAAAACAAGATTCTACATTCAGTTTCAGGTGCAGTAATTGCAAAACCAGTGTGTGGGTCCCAGCTGATGAGCTCACCTAGTCATGTCTTATATGGGAAGGGTTACTAGGCAAGTACAGATGAGAGATGACACTTTTGCCACTGATGCCATCTGGCCATCTAAACATCACAGCCTACAATAAAGCCTACCTTGCAGCAGGTCATTACTAACAGTATCTGGATTCCCAACCTATATTTTCCTGTCTCTTTTTGCAATAATTACTTGTATGTTTGGAAAACATATGGTCCCTTAACGAAGGTACTTAGCTGGGCTTTACAGATTTTTTTATTTATAATGTTCCCTCTCTGAGATACAGGTGTATAGCAGAGTGGTATAGAATTTAACTTAAATTGTGAGTTTTTTAAAAGCCAAAAGAGATTGTAAAGCTTTTGGAAAGGCCTTACTTTTCTGGCATTTCCCCTGGCAGTCAGCCGATGTTTGCTCAGCAAGAGCCCTTCAGGTACTCTGATTTATTTTGTTTTGTCTTTTCCTTTCTGTCCTTGCAGTTGGATTGTTTGCAGCTCTCGGGGTGTTGTAGGATGTACTTAGTAACCTGGGATTTTGCACTGTATTGACGCCCATTTGTGTCTCATGATTTCCTCAGGGGCAAAGTAAATCAGACATTAAATCCCTGATGATATCAGCATTGCTAGTAAAAGAATTTGGGAATTTCTGCTGTAGAATCTGGAAGTCTCTCCCATTATAAAATGAATTACTTAAATGAATTTTTGATAGAGAAATTAAAAAGGCAGGAGATGGTTAGGATTTATAATGCCCTAAGAACTGTGCTAATATATATGTAATATATAAAAAAAGCTATTTAGTATACCATCCAAAACGATAATTTTAATTCTCAACATTTCTTACTAATGAGCACCATTTTCAATTACACAATCACTTTTTTTTTTTCAGTAAGGTGTCTGCTTCACTTAGTGGAGCTCAAGTATTTCATTACAGTCATTTTGATGTATTATTCTGCATTGGATTTTGTCTTTTTGGTAATGCATCAGCTTAGTACCTTCTTTCCTGTAGCTGGCAGTTAGGGAACCTAATTTTCTCGTGAGATTTTTCTGCATTTGATCATTATGTGATAGTCATAATTTAGAGCTTCACAAATGTTTCTGAGTACATTTTTATTATTACAAAATATTATGGAGCCACATTTAAAGCATTAGATTCCTCTGATTTCGTTTGCAATGCTGAGCAATAAATTCTTATGTAAATCAAATCTTATACTGTGTACTTAAAAAGTATGGACTATATGGGAATCATCTGATTCCTAGAGGCACTGAGGATCTGATGAGGTATACTGCTATTCTAATGTAGTTTGTACTAATGTATTTATATTAATGTGTGTCTAGTTAGTGTGGTGCTTCTTCTGATAAAAGTGTGAAATTACAGATCAGAGATGGACTGTGATCAAAATTAGTGGATTTGCTCAAGTCAAATGCTCTGTTTACAAAAAATTTGGAAATATGGTGATATTGGTAGTAACAATATGTAACTGACATTCTTAGGACTAAGACACACGTATTTTTAAATCTACTGTGAGTAATTCTATTGCTTCTGTTATGTGCAGCTGTTCAGAATTCAGTTGCTGGTTTCTCCTGCCCTGAGCACTGACCTAGTCACTGAGGTCAGTCTGCTTCTTCCTGCATTAAGATGATGAAGTAATGACCTGTTTCACTGGTCTGGCGTGAAGTGATAGGCTTAAAAATATATAGCTCAGGAAAATATATTAATTTGTGTG